CACATCATCAATTTGTTTTGTTCACAAAATAAATAAACCAACTAAAATTTGACAAAGCATTTTCAAAATCTTAAAAACACAGTCAACATTTTTAACCAAATATTTATGTTCAAATGAAATTCAGTGAACCTTCTTCTCTTAATTATACACGTTTGCTCCTTTTTATTCCTTTAATGTCTTTTGTTTATCTGAAGGAATTTTATGATTTTCTTATTGATAGAAATTAAACATCTAACACTTGAGTGGGTTAAAAATAATTGGATTTTTCTGAGCACATGAAAAGCAAAATAACCACAAATCTAAAATGCATAATGAAATACATAATGTAAAGTGTTGTTTTCATGTTTATATTTGGCATTAATCTCCAATTTTCTCCAGTAATTTAAAAAATCTAAAACTAGATTTTATTTTCCTTAAATTACCTTGTAGTTTTAGTTATCGAATATCTATGTTAAATTCAAATATGAAAACAACAACATCAAAATATCGATATAAAAAATCGAGAGGATAACTATGCATTTGCATACGTCAGTATAAGTTCAATGTCTATTTTTATTCATCTGGATATATTTTATGTTTGATTAGCAAATGTTATTTTCAATGTACAAATTTAAAATTTTAAGGCATTTCTTGGTTTATTTCATTAAAACTTTAGAATTCGATTTTTGTGCCAAGCCAAAAAGAGGAAAAGAGAAGTAACCGCATTCATATACTGATAAGACAATGGGCATTTGAACTTTTTGCTCAAGGTAATAAAACAACGAATGTAGAGATAATGATAAGACCAAATGTGATATCAGTATCGAAGATGTTCTCAATTCTTTTATTAAGAATGTTAAGTGTGAATGCTAACACGTGTTGGGTTAAAAACAAAATCGCAAGAAGAGTCATGTATTAGTTTTTCAGTTTTAGAATTAGACATGTTAACTTTATACATGTTATAATTTCATTATTTAAGTTCTGTAAGTTTTAAGTTAAAAAATCTATAATAGAATAAACATTGATGTATTGGTTTGTGAATGGTGTTGGTTGCTGTTCACGGCCTCTAAAACTTGTTTTATCTTAGTGGCGGTGATAAAAAAAGATAAATATGTTATCTGATCTCTTCTTGCAATTTATTTCGTTAGTCTCATTTTCTTTTCCTTCGTTTCTAAAATGTAAGAAGAAAACTTTTTTTTTGTTTTCTTAAGAAGAAAACTTAAACAATGTTAAATGCGATTGGTTTCTAAAAAAATTAACCGCAGCGTAGCGCGGATGTTTATCTAGTTCTAATAATGAAAATGAACTTTTTGCCTGATGGTGGCTTAACCTTAGGCGTTCCCTCTGGTCAAAAGTACAAAATTACCGTTAATCATCATGTTGGTTCTGATGTACCGTCTCGTCAAGAGTATACAATTACCGTTAATCCTGGTGGAGGTGGGGTTGTAAGGGTTCATCCTCCGGTAATGGCTAACCCTAAGGTTTTCTTTGATATGGCCGTGGGCGACAGATCGGTTGGTCGGATCGTGATGGAGCTCTTGGCCGACACGACCCCAAAGACAGCAGAGAATTTCCGAACCCTTTGTACCGACGAGAAAGGCAAGGGGAAGCTTGGTAAGCCACTCCATTACAAGGGATCAATCATCCACCATATATCATGTAACGCCCGTGAACCAAAAAGAGGATTTTGGTATTGCGCCGATCGACACCGGGGTTGTGTGTCGATCGATGCATATGTTTGGACTTGCGAGAAGTCGGGTTCTGGGTGTTGCGCCGATCGACGCAGACTCTTGGCGTCGATCGACGCGGGTGTCGGCAGTTGCGCCGATCGACGCAGGCGCTTGGCGTCTATCGACGCAAGTGTCGGCAGGCTGGCTATTTAAATCGAACAAACGCGTTTTTGGGAAGAAAAACAAGAAATCGGTTTGAGAGAGTGAGATTCGAGGATTTTGGGTTGTTTTCCCTTCGATTCTTCCGTCTTATAGTCTTGTTTTGGTGATTGTGAGGTTGTGGGAGCAAGAGAGAATCGTGCGTGGAAGGATTTCGGATTTGGGATCCGTGTTCTTCGCGTTCTTCGTGTTCTTCGTCGATTTCATAGCGTTTCCTATCCGAATTCGAGGTGAGTGCGTGACCATAGCTTATCTGGATAAAGGTTTGGATAGGATACGATTGATTGTTACTTGTGTTTGGATTTCACGTTGATTGGTAGGTTCTATGCGATTTATTGTTGTTTGCGGGTGTATTTCATGATGTATTGGGGGGCGTTGTGCCGGAGATCGATGGAAATGAGTTCCGAGAATCGATCCGTGAGAGGATAGATTCGATTCTAGTTTCTGGGTTTTGTGCATCGATCGACGTAGGGTGCTTGCGTCGATCGACGCGTGTGAGGTGCATCGACCGACGCAGGGAGTTTGCGTCGATCGACGCACCGGCGAATGTGATGATTCGCGGTTGATTGTTGTCGTGTCTTCCGTGTTGCTTGATAACCCTGGT